TATATATATATCATGGTGAAAACAAGCTTTCATATATTACAGATGTTTCAGATGAGTAATAAACTGATTTTTAACTTCTTTTGCCCTCTTTTTCTCTCAGCGAGTCCATGTTTGAGCTCGCCCTGTCAGAATGACGGTACCTGTGTGGATAAACCAGATGGTTCTGGTTATACCTGCACTTGCACTGAAGGTTTTGAGGGCACAAACTGTGAGGTCTTTAAAATCCCCTCCGAGGGAGGCCTGGGTAAGTGAATGTGAACGGACTGTATTCATTCCTAATGTAAAATTCTTAATCTAATCTAAAAAATTAAACCATATATGCCAGTCATATGTAACAGGTTTTTCCTGCTCGCGGTTTTGTAGATCAAACAGCTATTATCTTGATCGGAGTCCTCGTGCCACTTGGCGTCATCCTCATAGTCACAGCAACTGTGTGCATTTACAAGAAGTGCAGGTAAAATTGATTTAAATCTAACAACACTGATCTTGCAATAAAGTCAAAAATTAAATTAGGCAAATTAATGATTGTTAATCTCTTTTTACACAGCCGCAAAAAGATGAGTTACGATTCAAATAAGCAATTTGAGCTGAACAAAAAGACAGGTATGTGGTGACTGATTATAATACTTTTTTTCTTTCTAAAAAAACAATCTGAAATGTATAATGTGAGCTGTAATTTGAGCGTTTCTAAATGTGTCCACAGATCATCCTTATGAAACTCTAGATGAGGGTAAGAAGCAGGGAACAGACAACAGTGTGCTGAAGGCTACTACATTCTGAAGCAGTTTTTTGACAATGATTTGCTGACAAGATTTTGTTTATATTTATTAATTTTAAACGTCTTTGTGGAATATGTGAACTGACTGGCAAAACCTCTGTTAATATTTTACATTTTTCAACTTTTCAGTAACTTATTTGTAAACTCCATTGTAATTTTTGGTGTAAGCTGTGTTTTGATTTGGGGAATGAGTGCAATTATCAAATGTCTATGAACATCTGATGTCAAATAAATTATATTTTCTTCTGAAAAATATATATTTTTAATATTTTAAATAAGGTAACAAGACAATTTATGCCCTAGCTGCTTTTATTTAACCTGTTCAAGTGCAACACTCCAATAACCAACAACATTTCCAATGACTCTGAACACTTTTGTTAACACTTCAAACAGCAATTAAAGGCATATAAAAACAAACAATAAACAAACAAACAAAAAAGTGCACAGCAGAAGTTCATAGAAGAGTATAGTCAAAATTGTCTTGCTTGACCAGCTATCTAAATGATTGAGTTCCACAAGGACTTTCCACCAGAAGTGCTTCTTGGCGGGTCTTAGCCATTCAAAAAACCCAAAACAAAAAGTCTGAACAAACAATTCAAGCGCAATACTCAACATATGTATGCACTGATACCTTTTGCATAACTTCTAACCTCAAGCTATTTATACAGACTGGGAGTAAATCCAGTGGTTAGAGTTGTCAATTAACAATTGTTCTGTGATGTGCCTTGTCAAGAGGCTAAAAACAAAGAATCCAAATGTTTTTGAAGAGTTTTTGAACCATGCTGTTCAGGAAAATATAATATCCAGCCACCAGTCCTTTGAGCATTCCTTCTTTTTCAAAAAATAAGTTACAAAAAATTAAATAAAGTGCTTACAAAAAAATAAACATGATAGTCCAAATCTTTTTGTTCTGCAATAAATGATCCACTCGTGCCAAGAAAGTTTTCTTCATAAGTTTTCAATGTAATAATAACATAGTCCAAAACAAGAAAACTGGCCAAGATGCAAATATGCAAAATTGCAAGTGAAATGAATTGAAAATTAAAATACATCACAGTGTTTATATTAAAACGTATTATTTACATCCACAAACGGTTTTGAATCATTGTTACATTACCGCAGAATAAGTAGTCCGTCTAAACAATTCAGTCTGAAAAAATTAAACATTCAAGATCCTATATTCGGACAAAATATAAAACCATGTGCAACATTCCACAACAAAGGAAAAGGGTTTTCAGTCCCAATGATTAATCAGTAGTCCTCACATGTGCACAGAAATGTAAACATTGATAAAAGAAATCAATCGTAACCCCATTAAATGGTACAATGGGGTGACGCTTTACGCCAGTTGATTATTGATTATCACTACAGCCTGAGGGCTTGTACATATCAAGCTCTCTGTTAAAGTCCGATGTTCAGTGTGAATGCATAGAAATCAATACGACTGTATGACCAGCATCTGCCCTGATGCTTACCGGGAGTTTGTTCCCGGACATCTAGCGGGAGAAGGACAAGATCATTTTTGAGAACACACAATGCAGCAGGAATGTGACAGAATATTTCTAAAGCCATGAAAGGAGGAGCAGAAATAAAATGGCATCTGCCAATAACACAAGCTCCACCTCCACCAGAAGTGACTTGATTGGTGTGATTACATGGGAAACCTGTAGAAATTGAACAGCCTGAAGAACTGGAGTGTTAACATTACAGCAGTGAAATAATTTGATGAATTAAATAAATACTAATTTAACAACACGCACACATAACTACTGAGTAAGGAATATCGGTGATACAGTTACACTGCAGGGTACAATAAATGCCAGACCAAAAAGATTCCAGTGTTCAGGACTGAAAATGAAAGAAACCGTCTGATTGCTCACAGGCACGACATTGCAAACCATCTTTCAAGTAATTAAGGAAAACTATAAAAGCACTTTTACAAAAAGGAATGCAAAGAGGAACTGAATTTAGGAAGGGAAATGTTGGCAGTATTGACAAATGAAATGTATAGACATTAAAAAAACCTATCCAATAGTAAGTAGTAAACAAAAAAAATATGACTTTGTATGTGGCATGCTTTTACAATGGATATGACTAGGCCCAGATAGAATCTGCTGAATTCTTCATTTTTTGCACTGATTTTGGGAGCCAAATTTACAGAATAGATTTAAACATAGCAAAATGTTTTGAATAGAGTGCTAGATTAATTTGTAGCTGAAAACATTACCAAATTAGCCAAACCATTAAATAAACAAGCACACCTGGGTATGACTAACCATAACCATCCATTCTCCCTATAAACAGCCATCAATACAATATTTTAACTTGTATGTAACACAAGTCTCAGAACTTCATGACTCCAGTGAAATGTCCTATGGATAAACAATAAAAACCCTGTTTGTGTTTGTGTTTATGCTTTCTTTTCATTCCTTCTGTCGAAAATGTCAAAAACAGTAGCTGCATGTAAACTGCTTTGAAATTATTTAAAATAATCGTACTGTACAGCATATAAACAATGAATGCTGGTAAAAGGAAAACAAAATAAATATATACTGAACTGAAACTGACAGACATTAAACCCCGTTTTCGATTTACACTACTTCATGACACGATTCTTTGCCAAAGTTCAAAAATATCCCTACTTCGTCTCCCTCTGTCTGTCTGTCTGTGTGTGTGTTTGGATTCAGGTGTGTGAATCCAGTACCAGCACCTTGCACTCACGCTTGGCAATTTTGTCGAGTGACAAGATGTTCCTGTCTGGAGGGAGGTACAGTGGCCGTCCAACAGGAGAGCCCACGGGAGGGGTGATGGCCCTGCGCTCCATAACACTGCCTGTCCTGTAAGACACAAACAAACATGAACATAGACATCGACCTGAGCTGCATAAATGAGACGATCATGATCTGACAAAGAAAACAGGATGTACCAGTTATGGGCTATATCAGAGTTCCCGCCTATGTGGACGGTTCTAAATCAGTCAACTAAGATAATGCTGAAGAACAGGTGTTTTCCAGGTTAACAGGTTAGTAATACTGTAAAACATTATTGTTTTTTAAAACAAGTGTTTTCTATTTAAATATGGTTTAAAATGTAATTTATTCCTGTGATCAATACTCCAGTCTTCAGTGTCACATGATCCTTCAGAAATTCATTCTAATATTTGGTGCTAAAGAAACGTTTCTTATTATTATCAGTGTTGAAAACTGCTTAATATTTTTGTGAATCTTTAATCTTTGAAAGAATCCTGAAAGAAAATAAATTAATAAATATATATATTATACATATTATAAATATATATATACGAAGAGTTCAGATGCAAAAGCCTCCAAGTGCCATCTGAAATTTTCTTCTAAAATTAGCATTTTTGTCAGGCTTCTATGTTTAAGTTCACTTATTTCACTTTAATGGCAATGAAAATAACCTATCCATTGCCATTAAAGTGAAATTACTGAACCTACACATAGGAGCCTGATAAAAAAGAGCTCATTTTAGAAGAAAATTTCAAACGGCACTTAGAAGCTTTTGCATCTGAACTCTTCGTATGTTTTCTTTTCTTTCAGGATTCTTTGATGAATAAAAAGTTAAAAAGAACAGAATTTATTTGACAAAACAGCAAAGTCTTTACTGTCACTTTTGATAAATTCAATGCATTCTTGCAACCTATCCATTGCCATTAAAGTGAAATTACTGAACCTACACATAGGAGCCTGATAAAAAAGAGCTCATTTTAGAAGAAAATTTCAAACGGCACTTAGAAGCTTTTGCATCTGAACTCTTCGTATGTTTTCTTTTCTTTCAGGATTCTTTGATGAATAAAAAGTTAAAAAGAACAGAATTTATTTGACAAAACAGCAAAGTCTTTACTGTCACTTTTGATAAATTCAATGCATTCTTGCTGAATAAAAGCATTAATTTCTCTTAAAAAATCTTATTGAACCCAACCTTTTTGAACAGTGGTGTATATTGTCACTGCACCAAGAAAACCAATTAAATTAAACTGATTAAATTATTAACTGAATGTATTGAAAAAAAAATGTTGGTTGGCAGTGCATCTTTGTCCACCCACTGTGTAAGTAAAATCAAACCTTTAAAATTAATTTAAAAATATTTTTAATTACTATTAAAAATGCTGTCTTAATCCAAACAGAATAGAAATATTAAAAAAACACACACAAAAAAAAGAAATGTACTGCTATATTAAATTATTGTTAAACATATATAATTCATATATAGTGTGTATAGTGTATGTGTGAAACTAAGATTGTACCATATTTACATCAAGTGAAATACTTGAAGATCATCTCTCTCTCTGTGTGTGTGTGTGAGAGTGTGTGTGTGTGTGTGTGTGTGTGCGCGTTTTTCTGATTTATGAGTAGTGGTCGACCGATATTGGTTTTTTGACAGCAAAAGCATGAAGCACAGCATAATTTGAAATCACGAGTTTAAAGTTTGTCGATCGCGTGTCTCCAGTGAAGCTGAACTCTCCTCCTGTCAGCATTCAATTCGCACGGACCGAAAGTCACGCAGAGAACACGCGATCATGCAGGATACAAATGCACACTTCATAAGATCTCACAGCTGGATTCGACTAAGTTTGCAAGGTTTTTGAAATTAGATGTTCATTAGTCATTCAAAGATTTTGTTTAAATTATATAAATGCGTATTTGCTGAATGCTGACGGCAAACGAGAAAGTGTTATAATGTTTGCCTTTCTATTACTAATAATATAAAAGCAATCGTTATAATACTTTTTTGTATACATTTTAATTCCTTTGTTTAACAGTTCTATCTGATTATTAGACAGAC